AAAAAAAATGAATAACTCGGCTGGTCGTTTCGTAGGTAACACTATAGAGGATCATACCAGAACTTCGATCTTACCTTGTTGACAAACGGGCTGACGTAACACGGTAATAAAAAGCTCGTAGTGGTCAACTCGACAATTGCGGAAAACGTGGCAGCTGCCCCACCAATGAGGCCGAATACTGCAACCAGTAGTATACATAACTTTATTATCTGGCTGAAATTGGGGAACAAAACCCCTTACGATTTAAACCAACTTAGTTTTTCGAATGCAAATAAAGTGATCTACAGAGAAAGGTAGGACTTTTTCTAAGAAAACCATGAGTAGGCGTCTGATTTCAATAGGATGATTACGATAGGGTGATTACGATACGTATGTCGTACCGTCCGATAGAATCCTATTCTCTGAGGAGAAGAAACATTCAAAAGGAGTTTATCCAAGAGCATCTGAGGTTAAGCCCGATCCAGTTACAAGTTTCCCAGTTGGTTGCTTCGCTGCGTGTCATATCTTACAATTTGGTTGGCTGGCTTAGCTGCCTCGTCAAGCGACAGCCGCCTTCGATAGCACCCATAACCCACCAAAATGAGAGAGAAGCGTAGGGGCAAGAATCGTTGTGAATGAGCAGTGAACGCACGTAGGTTACCACAAGTACCGCCAGACAGAAGAACCAGGATTGTAGGGGGAGATAAAGGACAGCTCGCTATTTTTCGGTTTCTCTTTAAATACCAACAATATAATTAACTTACTTATTATGCTGATGCAAATGATGAGTGTAATTCGACCATTGTACTGGAAAACTCTGAAAACACGTAGATTTCAAGGTTAAAAATTGTAAAATTGTTGACAAAATTGTAATTCAAGCATTGGGAGCCCAAAGAAGATGTAAAGATATGGGAGAAGGTCTCTAGTTGAAGGCGCAGGCCACGATAATTTTGAGATACCCCTTTTCGGTGGAAAAACGAAAGAGTAGGGTGGAAACAGTTCATCGTAGTGAAGAAAGCGAGAAAATTCGCCGATTTCGGGAAAAATAAGGCTCAGCAAAGGTATAGTGGTAGAGGTTGAACGGAAATAATACCATGGAATAATAACATGGAAGGAGTATTCGGACGGGATATCAGTTGTAGCAGTTGCACAAAGCAACGCACTGACTACATCAAGCCAGAACTGTACATAACTGCCTTTCACTGTCGCTACTGGTCACGGCAAAATGTTTGATCTGTCTATGTACATTGGATTCCTTGCGATTGGTGCAGCCTCTACAATGCCGGTGAACTCGTCCAAGAATACACACGGTACAATATTTGAGCCTTTATAACCTCGTATCTAGGCCGTTTTCAGGTATGAAAGCGCTATAAACTTCATACGAGGGACCTACAAATTTGTTCTAGCGGGAAATCTCAAAAGTCATTTTTTTTGTGAACTGTTTCTTTAAAGGAACACTCCCCACGATTTCACAACGCTGTTTAGATTAGACGAAGTGCACTCACTCGCTGAGAGTAGACGGATCGTCGCTCTTCTTGCCGACATCCTTTTCCTTCTCTACCCGCGCATTCAAGTACAGATAGAACAAACATGGTAGAATCACTGAGGTTAATGTCAAGGTAGAACCTCCTGCAATGGTTATTTGTTTATTTGAGGTTTGAAACCCCTCCCGTGTGATTACATTTAAATCGGGACAGAAAAAACTATTTGCGTAGAGGCTACTTACCGAAAAGATCAAGTAATGGACCGAAATTTGGTATGGTCTCAGCAATGAAAGCTACAGCCAACATAGTACCCGTTCGGATTAAAGCTCGCTGCCAGCCAAAATCTGCAGAACAACTTTGCTATCAGAGGAAAGCCAAGACAGTTTTTGAGAAACTAACGATGTGGGCAATGGAAGAGATCTTCTAATTCCTGATTCAGCGGATTGAAAACAATCGTTAACGTGAGAATGCAATGAACAGTAATCAATATATTGATGGCTTGTTGGATCCATACTGTCTGAAATCGATAATTTGACTTCAGTAAATATCGTTTGATAAACTATCGGGTTACCTACCTGAATAGATGGAATAATGGAGTCCCTAATTGAATCGTGGTATGTGAGGAAGCCCATAATGCACACAGGGCCATACATTACTCCCATGACTGTAAGTATAAACAAACTTGTTAGAAAAATAATAAAAAGATAAGGTGATCGGCAGCGAATAATCTATTTGGGAATTATGTTCTGTTGAAGAGCGTTTAACGTCTAACCTACTCCGAAACGTTACTAGAAGCATCCTGTAAAGGGGCAGAAAGTTGGATTTTATGAAGGAGATCTTTTCGCTGGAAATGATTGATGATCGCCACCATCGATGCCTATCACAAAAAGAAAGAAAACGCTCAGGAATGCGTATTTTTTGAGGTTGTGCTTCAAAAGCTTTAGTGGGTGAGATCAAAAGAAGCAACATGCTAGAGAGCTTTGATGATTGCAACCCCACGTCTGCTTGGAAAGGGTTCCTTACTCTTTATAAGGTGTTCAAATTTTGTGCTGTGGAGAGTTTTTAGATTGGATTCGTCTTCAGATGTCAAGATGAGAGTGAGGGGAAGATGAGGGAAGACAATTCTATGATGGATGTGAGTGATGTAAATGAGATTTCAATTAGATTCTTACCTGTGAAAGCCAAAATGACAGATTTTGTGAATTCGGCAGGGTTCTTCATGTCGTGTTGAATGGTGGGAAAAGCTGAATGTCCTCCATAGGCGAACAGTAATGTGCCCAACGCCAAGAAGAAGTTCTTCGGTTGATACGAAGGCATGCCTCTAAAAAAGAAATCTTTCAGATGAGAACCCATAAAATGTTTGTCTCCCTTGCAGCTAAACCATTCTTATTGGTGAACAATTGAATAAAACGATACTCACGTATAATGCGAGCATAGCCCATAGTCCAGCGATGCGCCGATTATGATCAGTACAACGGCGCATGACGTAGTAATCATGGCGATAACAACTGCCCACCTATAAGAAAAGCAGAAGCTAATGCACAGATAGTGACCTAAACAAAGATGTGAACCAAGATTCACGTAGGGGTGGCAGGATGAACCGTCAAAGCTGAAGGATAGCTTAGAGTCATCAATTCATTGGAATCGATTGAAATACTTTTGTGCCGTACGAGGTTGTTAGGTAGAACAGTTTATTAGTCAACGGCCTAACGTTTCGACGCAATCGTCTTCTAATAAACCGTTAGGACGTTAGGCCGTTGACTAATAAACTGTTCCACCTAACAACCTCGTACGGCANAAAAGTATTTCAATCATAAACAACTATGCCGAGGTTAAAGCAAGAGAGAAGTTGGAAACTATTCATTGGAATCGTTTTTCATTCGAAAATTCCGTCGAATGTTGTTAAATTATGCCCACGACCAATGTTAGATCACCTCTCTTTCAAACAGTGAGTTCGATTTTTTCATACCCCTTGAACATTGTAAATAAACATTGCTATGGTTTCTTCCTCCACAATTTTTGTCTGTGTCTTAGTCTATTTTCAAGAAGGAGGACCCCATGGTACTAGTTCTCAGCTCAGCTCCAAAAGACTACTCCTTGAGTAGAAATGTTCAGAAATCATCCGAAAGTTTATACTAACGATCATCGGGATCGCTTATCGACCAAAGTCGTAATAAGTAGGTGGTTAATCGTTATCACACTAATCCCTTGGAGTTAGCGATAGTATCCAGTGATCTTTGAAAGTCACAAAGAACTCATCGTACTATTATGGGCCAATTGAAAATGGACATGGGTTCGATAATCAGAGGCAACTCATGGGTGCAGAACCGAGAGATGGATTCTATCACAAATTTGGCCTTCTTTCGGATTCTTCAATTTATTCTCTGTATCAAGGAACCCTTGAAACTTCTTGCCTTCTCAATGTGATGAAGATGGCATCTTCCCAGTCACAAATGTTCAGGAACTTACTACCTAGCATATTGAGTCCAGGGCTCAGCTACCGTATTGTATGTTTTAATTAAGAAGAAAATGAACCACTATCTTTGACCTCATCCTTATTTAGATTGCCTTTACCTGCGACTACCAAAGTTGATTTCTTATTGAGGACACCCATCCAGAAACTCTTCTTCCCATTTGCTACATAAAAAATGGTAAATGCTGGGCAATCGAGTAATCCAATCAGTGCTCTTAATCTAGCATCAACCTGATGCAGACCGCTCACATAAATTGTGGGATATGTAGTTGGCATGACGAATTCCTATAAATGGACTGACCAGAAATCCTGTGGAGACTTCAGAAAGGTTATTGGAAGAAGACATGCAGCAAGAATCAAAACAACAAAGCAGTAACTGAAGTCCGCATTCGAAAATGTCTGAAAATTTTCAAATAGTTGAGGATTGATTCCTGGTGAGGTTGAAAGCAATATTCCTGGAAAATCTCTGACCTTAATCATATCGTGAATATTTTTTGAGGCCAGCAACAGGTATACTACGGCAATGCCAAATTGAGTTATGTCTATGCATATTGAGACGAGTATCCTGTAATAGTGTTGTCAAAGGGCATCATTCGGGTTGTCAACTATTCAAGAAAATCACTGCCTGCATCAAATTCAGCAGTACATAAGGCTGACAAACAAATAATGAACGAACATAGCTTCATTCCTGTTAAATTTTGTCATTTCTCTCTTTTACATCCTCATACAAGGGTGTGAGGTTACATTGTTTCTTTCGTATTGCCCATGTTTATTCATTCATCTGACTGAAGGGTCAATCGAGCAACTGCAAGGGTCCGTACTCAAGATCTCTTTGTGAGATTTCCCAGCGAAAGGAAACTGAACGAGTTTGTAAGCTCTGGAGGACTCGAATTCTACACTGAGCGGCGGAGGCGACGAGTGAAGACCTTACTGGCTGTCACTCTGGGAACTCAGCGCTCAACGGACTTATATACTATACTTATAATGAGCAATATTTCCAGTGGGGCTTGAAAATACTTTCGCACGCCCCTATGGTTCTTCCCTATAAGTATAAGGCTTAACCAGTAGAGCTTGAAAACCCTCCCTTTCGAAGAGAGTTCTAAGAAACATCCTCCTTTTTCGAAGCGGTGACGGTGTTCAAGAGGGCCACGCAAGGCAAGTACAGGGCAGAAAACTCAATACGAGGGGGTGAATTTGTGGCAAACTGCCAAGGAAGATCAGAGCAGAGTACTGCTATCGATATAATTGCTTTTCGAGAAGTAGATGAGTACGAGAAAGTTGAACCTACTTGACGATTCTGCCCATTGCACGATATCCGATTTCAGGATATGGCTTCCGACAGTGTTCTCGATATTCAGGCCACGTGTTCAGAAGAATATTCCAGCTGAGCCCCAATGCATAAGCCGTATAGGTGACGACTGCCATCATTACGACAGAAATAGCCAAGCCCGGGTAGAATTCTGAATGAGGAAGTTGATATTCATAATCGCATTTTCCAACTGTAGTGCGCAACAGGAACATGTCAAAAATTAACTCGAAATCATTTATGCTGATCGATTATTGGCTAAAAGTACCCTTTAAAAGCTATGTATGAGAATGTGCTGAAATAGTTATCCATGAGCAGTTCAGAGCTAATGTTGGGATCAAAGTTTTTCGAACACCCCCTTCTCTCTCGTTTTCCCTTATCGTCAATTTCGCGCTGGAGTAGTGAAGTGGTTCCTATCAGTATTCCGAAGACATCATTAATGATGCTAGAATTGTAAGCTACTGACGTCTTTACTTTTACGACTTTTTTGATGATAAAGGAAAATGTTGAACGTTCATGGTCTCTTCAATCCTAAGGCGTTGAACAATTGTATTTTATTGATTTATTGGAGAATATGACGGATCTCATTTGAGAGACAAAAATGTAACAGCGAAGCACATAATTTTGGGTATTTTGCAGGAAATATGCGAAAATGCATTGCCATCCACAAAACAATAAAGAGAGGTAAATAAGTTCATGTTGCACTTTTAAAACAATCTCGTCACAGATTGCTTTTCAACGTTTGGTTGTTACGACCATGAAGTCATCCCCAGACTGACTTTCACGAAAGGGCTCAAACTTCAGACAATAGTTATCCGATTTGGACCAAATACGCTGGGCAGAGGCGGTGTAGTGGCAAGTGGTTAACTCTCTCACACCCATGGTCATAGGTTCGAATCCTGGATCGGTATTCGCCTAGGCCAATCAAGCCTTCCATCCTTCCGGGGTCGCTTAATTGGTCCAGACTCGCCTGGGAGGATAAAATCATGTACATCGGCTGGCCACATACACACTCATTACGCTACTACGATTCTGAATGGAAGTCATGTGGCGCATCCTTCTAACGGGATTGCTTGACTTCGGAAGACTTTATCCTTCTTTTATTTTGATTGATTCAGAAATCGCGTAGTAATGTTTGAAAGGGGTCAAAAACTGCTTACCTGATTGTATCATAGCCGTCGGCAGCGCAACCAGACCACCACCGGCTAAATCCCCGACCACGAACAGACCGGTGACAAACCAGCTGAGACCTTTCGGATTCATGTACGGCCGTGTCATGTCCAACATCGAATTCAAAGAGGAGGAGTTACTCTTGCTTCTGAAATTCAGGAGATCAGCATTGGATACATGGCAGATTTTTTAATTTCCTCCAGTATGAGCTTTTACAAGGTCCGATACAGCTTTGTAAATCCATGATGCAGTTTCAAGGGGATCGCCCAAGCAAGATTTGAGTACGACCAATCGAAGTGCCAAGGGTCGATGAAAATTAAGGTTTTCGTGGGAATTATGAAGAATTGTCACGATGGAAAGTGGTCAGAATGTTCCTTTGACCAGTCAGAGCGTTCCCTTAGATTATACCCTATCACCTCCAGAACTCTCAACTCTTTGACCATGGCCGCTAGTTTGTTATTTCGCATATCTGGAGAGAAATAAGCTTCTGATAGATGATCCTAGCAGTTTCGTGCTTCCTAAGCTTTCAACATAATAGATGATGTTGAGGAATTGATAGGAATAAGTAGCGATATGACGTTACCAGAGGTGCCTCTCAGAAAATTTCATTATATTGCTACCATTTGTTTTGAATTTCGAACGGCAACACAATATGAAACAGCTAGTGCTACATGGAAAAGACCCCTAGCCAGTCCCAGCTGAATCCAACCTAGGCGTTCAGTCATTCGGGTCGATTAGTTCGTACCGGGCTCGTTTGGGATGTTAAAGACCTTGACTTGCACATCCGTTGCCTACCAGAAGTCATTGTAGAGCACCCGATTATGGAAACGACACTTGGAACCCATTGTTGAGTGGAATTTGAATATGGAAGCTCGTCCCAAAACGACGTTGTTCAACATCTTCATAGGCATTCAACAAAGCTACACGTTAGTAACCTCTATCTTTCATTTCAAGTATGGAAAGACTCACGGCCTGTAGAATCCATTTTCTGTAGACGGCACCTTCTCATCTTCAGTATTCCAACTCATTTGTACTTTTGGAAGGCGAAAGCTGCTCAGCAACTAAATTTGTTCGGATCAGCGGTCCAGTGGTCGACAGTCACAACGACTGTGATTACTGTGACAAAAGAAAGCGTTATCACGCTTGGAAAAATGTCCGCATTTCCTAAGCTGTTATCAGGCGCCACGCTACATTAGTAGCACGATTTGCCGGTTTGGAGGAGAGGTCAAAGATCGCCAGCTTTAAGGATAGTGTGACCATGACCAAAAAAGTTGTTTTAAAGATGAAGAAAGACAGTTCGGTGGATGATAATGGTCTATAAAGAATCAAGTAATTGCTAGAGTAAGAGAGGCAACGAATTGATAGAGTTGAGTAAACTCGAAAAGGAAACGAGCACTATAAAGTCCTGTTTCAGAGAAAGTGCGATAGCTCGACAAGCCTGAAGAAGTCAGTCCATCTTGGATAGCTAACTCCGTTCAAGGAGAAATGGTTATAGAGAATGCAAAGATCGTCATCTACGGAGCGGAATGAAACCGAAGCTGATGACGGAATTAGATTACTCACCGAAATCAATGTATGTATGTATTATGTGTTATGCATGACGGTCACAGTTTCATAAAATGTTCCCTCTAAATAAATAAACATAGATCTATTGTTAGCCCATTCCGGTGTGAGCGAAGCTTTTCCGTACTCCATCATGCATCTGAATTCTCATCAGGGCAAATCTAAATTTTGAAGCTAGGATCAATACATATAAAGAAAAGCCACTACGGTAAGTCTTATACATCGTGGCCTGAGTCGGTCGGGCTATAGAAGCCTGCAGCCTCCTGTAAGTCCGACCCGAACTCTATCTGTTAGAGGTTCACGAAGAAAGGCTATCGTAGGTTACGGTGGGTGAGGCATAGACAGAAATCCGTGCCGAAATGGAGTATATGTACTCATTTGAGTGTCAGTTGGAAGTGGTCGTGAAATGTACGACATCGGAGCCATATCTTTACCATATAAAGCCAATAATTAGGGCTTTCACTTTTCTCCTATCAGATAGCTATAGCCAATCTGCTGCCTCTTTCCGCCGAGCTTCGCTGTTATGGGGTACTCGAACAACGCGTAATGCATAGAAACGATTAAGCGCATTTTAGCTAATTGAAGCAATCTGCTTTGAAGATAAGAGTCCTCAAAATGTCGTGCTACTGTAGATGACAAACTTGGAAATGTGCCGTGAAAAGAACGTACTGAAAGAAACGGAACGCTTCTGGACACTTCGTTTTTGGCGATGAACAAACAATGCCATTTTGATTTTTCACTTTACTGTACAAAATCTTAGGTCATTCTATATGTGCTTGTAGTTTTTCTATTCTGCTCCATGGTTAAGGTTTCCAAAAACAATGAGAGCTGAAGATATACCGTCGCAAACACCACTTGGTGCCAGCACCTCAGCAGCTCGTCGATCCGTTCTCTGGAGAAAGGGAGTACACTTTAAAGAACTCGCTGAGTGGATTTCTGACATCATCCTATGCATTGAGTCAGCTTCCCCCAGGTGTCCTCAGAAGTGGATGAACAGCCCATAATTCAAAGAGTGAAGACTGGCCTTACAGAGACTGAAGATTCCCCAGCCAGCCATAGGACTCGAACCCATCCTGCGCCAACAGTTCAACAACCAACTTTCTAAATGACTCCTGGGAATAACCTAAGATTTGTCGATGTATTGCACTTACTTCGAGGGTCCAATACAAGAGTGCTTGCCACTACGGAAGACTCCCATTTCTTCCATTTTTCTCGCATCAAATGCACTTCTGATACGTGTAATGAGATATTCTTTACGGGAAGCATTTTTCAGAATTCCACCGAAGCCTTGTTGTGAAGTCGATAAAATTAAAAAGGGACAGAAAGGAGAAGTAATAACGAGGGGATGAACGAAGCGAAGGCAAACGAGAGACAATTTTGTTTATTTGAGAATATAACTAATCAGATTTCAGTTAGCATAAGTTGCCTATCAACATTTAGAGCGGAAGGATGAAACTAATCCCGCTAAACGCTACTACTGACTCCACCTATCGAAAACCAGATCCCCGACTGGATGGCAATAATTGCACCGATCATCATAAATTATATTTCCGAGTTTTTACATATGCAATTATTTTCAATAATCGGGATAAATCGATGCACAATCATGGCGGGAACTCTGGCTGCTTGTTTGACTGTCTGTCTGACTGACTGACTGACTGACTGACTGCTTTGTCTGTCTGTCTGTCTATCTGTCTGTCTGTCTGTCTGTCTGTCTGTCTGTTTGTCTGTCTGTCTGTGTGTCTGTCTGTTTCATATGCTTTGCTGGCAACCTATGCACTATAATCCCAGAAAGATCTCTACATAGGCATTCTTATAGGATCTTTCCCTCCCATGCCCTGTATGTAGAACGAAACTGAGAGCATCCAGTTAAAAGGCGACCGAGTCTCTCTGCAAGAGAAATGTGAAAAAAGAGGCAAGAGAAACCTGAAACACTTAACATCTGGATAAAATGACAATAGCAGTTTGGATCAGTTCTATATGCAAAAAGGTCTCCATTCACTGGTCAATAATTAGGGACAATTGCTGAATTCGATGTTGGGGTGATCAAACGGAACTGTCCGCAAGTTCGGTAATTCATGATCCTATCCCTAAAAAAGTTCTACGCATGAAGTGAACACGGCCATCATATTTCCAATCGGATGACATTGCACAATTACCTAGAAGGTCAATGTGGGAGACGAACAATTGTGCCGGTCAGAGTCAACGAATTCAACCTTTTGAGTACCTCACCACAGCTCTTTTCAGATGAAATGATCAAAAAAAGTGACAGTGTGCGCTTCTCACAACCCGATAGTATGATTACCCTCAGATGAAGAGTAAGGAGCAGGGCTCAACCCAAAACATAATATGAATGGTGGCTAAGGAAGAAAATTCAAATAGGATTTCATAGGTGGTAACAATTCAAATTGCAGAAGTCGGAAGATAACTTCTATTGACAGTTGTTGCTCATTTTTCATTGAAGAGGTCCTTTTCATTTTTGTTATGAGGGTACTGGATCTACCGTATTGGCTCCTCCTGCAGCCATGCAATTTCATCTACTCGAGAGAAACAACGAACAATATCATAGTGCCAGACCCTACGACATTTGGTCAATTGTCGGAACAATCGCCTACTTTATACTGTTAGTAGTTGCTAAAGAAAACTCGCTGTTCGGGAATCACGTGCATCCTGAACACTGCGAAAGGTTCATTGATCCAGGATAACTCGGTTGGCTCAAACGAGATCGATCCTGAAACCGACCCCCGGCTCATGCGCGTGTTAAGCGTGGCACTATGACACCTTTGCCCCATCTTTCCATTTTTTAGAATGAAAATTTTGCACGCTCCACTTGGCATAACTTATAACAATGTGTGGCAAAATAATTTTCAGAACAGGGAGGTGCACTGTACATGGCAGAAGAGTGAGCTTTCGATAACTTACTAGATAGGCTAGTGTGCGGAAAGGATATGCATGGGTTCAGATCACGTCTGAGGCCGAAAGGCAGCCAATGCTCACTATTAGAGCAAACTTTTCCTGACTCCGACTCTGGATGACAATCAGATTCTTCCTAACAAAAAGGAGTAGAAACTGATTGAACCACAAGAGGATGGTCCCCAACAGTAGGTTAGGAAAGAGGCGGAATGACTAGTCGAAAGTATCTCATAGCTATGCAGAGTTGCCGCAAGTGTTTACTCAAAAGTATCAGTAAGTCACCGCCTTTAGAGTTCGACCCTCTAGCAAAAAGCTCCCCATCACTTGAATTTCCACTCAGACTGGGTGCTCTTCATACTACCTCACTAAAAGTTTGAGTATACAACAGTACAGTTTTTATTAGTGAATTGAGCACGTTCAGAGTCGGAACAGAGTACGAAACATAAGCTCTATAAGCGAACGAAGCAAACGCTCTAAGAGGTCGAGTGCTTTTGGTAGAAGTGCAGGCGTTTACTTGCTTGAGCGATCTGTACCAGTACCACATTGGGGTACTTTGATTAGGAGACGTGGACGATATCACCCACAAGAACTTAGAAGTAATTTCAATTCCTACCTTAACGTGGATAATGTAGCATACATAA